AAATAAATAATTTGAAATATTGACCCCCCTTAGACCCCCTATAGATGGTTAAGTTATAGAAATATTAAAACACAAATAATACACAAATAAAACACATCAGCATCGTATTTCAACCAAAGAGAAGGGAATAGATATTTTCAATGATACTTTATTGGAAAAAATTATACTGATAAAGTTGGTATCACCTCACCACTGAGTCATCTCTCTTTCTGATTGGCTACATGTCACAATACCTCTCTTTCTGATTGGCTACATGTCACATCCACACCCCATGAGGACTTGGGCTTAGATAATCATGTTGAATATCCCAGATTTGAGGCTTGAATAGTCTTGACGTCTGAACACAATGAACGGCACAATTATAAGAACCAGTGTCATCATCCTGCTGTGAAAACCAGGCTTTAGAGAAAACTCAATATTTCAGAGCCAGGCCCTTTTAATCTCCCAGTTCTGTCATGGCCAGAAGAATAAGATACCTGTGGTTGTATTGCACAGCAACAGTGGCTGGATTTAAGACAAACACTTAAACATGTAAAACAGGCTAAATCATTTTAGATCATCTTTAGATCGGCTCATAAAATATGATCTCTGCCCAAAAAGTCAAATAATGACTTACACAGCTCTTACTTAACATGCAGTCTTAAAACAGGGGAAAATGCAGGCACCCCAATTTTGTGAGTTTTATTTGTGCTTCAGGTAGAGACACGGAGGAAGACAGGTCTGTTTTTTGCAGTGGCGTATTTATCACGTGCACAGGTGATGCACGTGAAGTTCATGAAGTTCATTTCCAAATCAAAGCAAAACATTTTGTCGCCTCAAAAATTCAATACATCTGTTTGTTAGAAGGTGTAGGACGACATTGCATGAGTGCAAACCACTGTGCCACCATGCCGACTGCTGTCTCAAAGGGCATCTCACAATCAACAGACAGGGACTGGTCCACATCAGGTCTAGGGGAGTCCAGGTAGACTGGTGTTTCAGGTCCCGTCCCAGCATTGTGTCCATGAAACAGACGAGAGTAAACAGCAATGAACACACCACAGCTACACCTGGACACAGATGATTGGTGCATTAACAAAGCATGTACGGTACATTAAGACTTTTATGAATGAATTCTACTAACTTGTTATTAACTTTTAATTTTTTTGCAAGTTGGCAGCTACAATTTACACCTCAACAGAACCCATGTTCTAGTCCAGGGATACACACTTACACCTCAGCTCTAAAACTCGTCATTCTTGGCACCCAGACTTACAGGTAAATACTTATTTTAAGTTAAAAAAATAAAGAAAAGGTTAACCGTGTGATATTTGGACCACATTATAATGTTTGTTACTGATTATACTGTGGGTGTTAAAGTACTTCAGTACAATTCACAGGGTTTTCCAACAGTGTGAACAAAGCTTTCATACGGGACCATACAGATCCGGACATTGAGCATCACTCTGAGCATGTGCGGTGCTTTAATATTTCAGAACCTGACGGTCGCTCTGTGGTATAACAACCCACCTCGCTGTCCGTGATGTAACCTCTAACCCCCCTCCTCCACCCTGTCCTGCCCTGAGAGGAGTGCTGGATCCGGTCGCAGTTAACAGCCTGCAGCCTCTGACAGTTAGGACCTGTATTTCCTCCACCTGACATAAGTAAACAAATGAGCATTCACTCACACACACACACACACACACACACACACACACACACACACACACACACACACACACACACCCGCACACACACCCACACACACACACACACACAAACCGCACTTTAGGAAAATATTTTTATTTTTCTAACAAACAGCAATTAGATGTGCAATTCACACACAAATTACAGGAAGGTCTGAAGTGTTCACTGTACAGTCTGACAGCAGCACAAAAATAACATGATCAAAAAGAAACTACCATACCATACTAACTAAACATTCAGTTTCATAGAAGATATTGTAAATGATAATGAACAAAAAGATAGATAACATGGTTCTCTGTAGAGCGGAGCGTTGGACCAGGGGAGAAGATGACGATTAAGATGAAGAGATCCTTTATTCGTCCCACAGTGGGTAAATTTGACTGTTGTATCACAAATCACAGAACAGTAGGAATGAGGAGCACACAGAACAAGATAAGTGAACAATAACTATTCCAATTAAAATAAAATAAAATCTCTATCTTTAACATAGTAAAAGATAGAGATGGCAAAATAAGAGGCAAGTTTAAAGTACTGTGTATTCTAGTGCAAGCAATAAAGCCCGGATCTAATCGCGAAGTGGGCCCAGCCACACTTTAACCGGGCTCTAGGCTGTTCATGTGACCGCAGCCTCTGTCTGCTCTGGACAGCAGTTTCAGGCTTTAGGTGCTATGTGACCGCAGCAACTGGGCTTGGGCTCGGTTGGGAGAGGTGGGCCTGAGCACGCTTCCAAAGCCCAGATGAGGGGGGTCACTGTGGCGGGTGGTGGGGTGTGGTGGGGAGTTGATATTGTGCGTCACATTACATCTTCCACATTTTCACACACGTCTCTGCACTTTTGTATTCTCTGTATTAACCCCCCGGACTGTGGTGGAGGGGCGCAGGGGAGTGTGTCGCTCCAGGGCTAAAGAAAAGCGTTTCACAGTGTGGTGCTATTGCAATAACTATCTGAATGACGTCACTAAGACACGCCCCCGCCGCCTGTCAGGTCCCGCCCACATGTTTCGGACAAACACTGCCCAAATAAATCAAATACCACTCGTCACTTTAGACAAAAATGAAATACCAGGGGCAAAATTCCACCATCAAACCATCAGGACCATAGTTAGACCAGTTATAACGTTGGCTTGAATGTCGTGGTCTGTAACTGGTAGAAAGTTTGAGTTGATAAAAAGGTAATCGTGAGGATTATGCTAACATTATCCTGTCATTTAAATTCAATGCTAGCGCCTTCTTTATTTATTTTGCTGTGATTAACTTTCATTTATCAAGTTGTTTTTGCACTGTCCACTTTGTAATTAGTTTGATCATTAGTTAGTTACAGTCAGCTGATATTATAATAGATCCATGGGTCACACGGGCTACACCACTGTCTCTGAGAGAAACTATCAGAGCAACACTCAGTAAACACTAATGACAATCGACACATGTAAATGTTAATGGGAGAATATATTATACACACAGTCGTAACACACGTGCACAGAGGTTTTCAGAACTATCTGTTCAGGTTTTCATGACAAAAATACTTTTTAAAGTAGGTTAACCAGCCTCACTGTTACTCGCCTGCCACGGGAAAACCTTTGGGAACTATTTTCTTTGCACTCATTAAATAAACCTTTGGGCATTAATAAAAGTGACTGAAGTTTATTTTGTGTGTTCAGTTGGTACAAAGCCGTATTATAAGCGGACCCCGACGCTCTTCGTCTGAACTTATTTTCCGATAGTCACAAAGTTGAAAAAATCCCTCTCATCTTTCTTCAGGTGTGAGAATTGTAAACTTTCTGGATTAGGACAAACAATACTAATATGGATTGATGGGGTAAATGGTATAAAGAGAATGTTTGTGCTAACTACATTCAGAAGAGCTCAGACGGACCTGATACAGCGGTCCAGACGGTCCAGGTCCAGTCCAAGCTAAACGTAGCTAGGACTGGATCTAGAGGCTCCACAGTTGGTCCAGCTTCACAGACGAAGTGTTTTGAACAAATATGAGTCCTTTTTAACATTTTCATGAGAGAAATTCTGCCGACCACAAGCACCCACCTCCTGCACTTGTCCTGGTCTGGTCTGGTCTGGTCCCATGTTGTGGTTTAACGAACGGGTTGAATGTTACTTTCATATAGTCCTTTTCAGAGTATCTGAAATCGCTCCGACAAGCACCATAACTGCAGTGTTTTGTTGTCACCATGTTTCAATGATTTAGCCCAAATAAATACACACGTATGTGGAGAACACAGTAGAACTCAACGGAGTCGGACAGAGTTTTTCCCAAACATGCGCAGTCATCGAAGCTATTTTTAGCACATTTCGGAAACCGGACAGTGCCCTATAAGACTTCAGACGATCAAGAATCAAACTTCATTTAATCGCCAAAACACACCAACACACACTTGCAACCTGCCTGGCTCTGGTCGCTCTGATCATCCACACTTCATTTTTTCATTATTATTCATACATTTCTCAGCGCTCTTGCGCTCATTACTAAAGAGGCACAGTCCCGTGTCCGTGGCGCATGCACACACACACACTCGTTACCCACTGAGCCGCTACACTTTGGAAAAATACACGTCTCAAGCTTGTACACATTGCTCAAACCAGGGCCTAGTTCGTTGGTAAAAACCTATGTGACCGTGCCCAGAGTGTCCTGCAGGGGGTGACAGTCATGGTCCAGATGTTAGTTTGTCCAGGACCCTCCTGTCCCCCACCTGCTGCTCTGTGTCCAGGGAACAGCCCAGGACTGAGCTGGACTTCCTGATGTTCCAGCTTCTTCCTGTCCCTCTCTGTGATGCTGCTGCTCCAGCAGACCACACCGTACAAGAGGCTGATGCCACCACAGAGTCATAGAAGGTCTTCAGGAGTGGCCCCTGCACTCCAGAGCTGGAGCACCAGGAGAGAGCAGGGGACCAGGGGGGAGCAGGAGGGACCATGAGAGAGTAGAAGGACCAGGGGAGAGCAGGTGGACCATGGCAGAGCAGAAGGGACCAGTAAAGAGCTGGAAGACAAGGGGAGAGCAAGAGGACCAGGGGAGAGGAGGAGGGACCAGTGGCAGGAGGACTATGGGAGAGCAGGAGGACCAGAGCAGGGGACGCGATCAAAGAAATGTTAAAATATTTCAACTTCTGTTGGCAACCAGAGTTTCCTTCATAAACGAAGGATTAGACAGAGACTATTTATTATTTTCATTTATTAGAGTTCTATGGTGTTTAAAGTACATTTAATTGTTGATATTTATTTATATCCCTCAGGGACCAGGAGAAAGCAGGAGAGAGCGGGAAGACCAGGGGTGAGCAGGAGGCCATAAGAGAGCAGGTGAGAGACTAGAAGGACCAAGTGAGAGCAGGAGGGACCAGGGGAGAGCAGGAGGGACCAGGGGAGAGCAGGAGGGACCAGGGGAGAGCAGGAGGGACCAGGGGAGAGCAGAAGGGACCAGGGGAGAGCAGGAGGGACCAGGGGAGAGCAGGAGGGACCAGGGGAGAGCAGGAGGGACCAGGGGAGAGCAGGAGGGACCAGGGGAGAGCAGGAGGACCGGGGAGAGCAGGAGGGACCAGGGGAGAGCAGGAGGGACCAGGGGAGAGCAGGAGGACCGGGGAGAGCAGGAGGGACCAGGGGAGAGCAGGAGGGACCAGGGGAGAGCAGGAGGGACCAGGGGAGAGCAGGAGGGACCAGGGGAGAGCAGGAGGGACCAGGGGAGAGCAGGAGGGACCAGGGGAGAGCAGGAGGGACCAGGGGAGAGCAGGAGGGACCAGGGGAGAGCAGGAGACCGGGGAGAGCAGGAGGGACCAGGGGAGAGCAGGAGGGACCAGGGGAGAGCAGGAGGACCGGGGAGAGCAAGGAGGGACCAGGGGAGAGCAGGAGGGACCAGGGGAGAGCAGGAGAGACCAGGGGAGAGCAGGAGGGACCAGGCGAGAGCCGGGGACACGATTTGGGAAATGTGAAAATATTTCAACTTCTATCGCTGTTGCCAGATACTACAGCCGAATGATTTGACAAAGACTGTTGATACTTTTGTATTATAGATAGATAGATACTTTATTGATTCCCCGTAGGAGACACCAGGTTTGTTGTACAGTCTGACAGCCGAAGGATCTCTTGAAGCGTTCCGTTCGGCAGCGCAGTGATAGGAGCCTGTTGCTTCGATGACTCCTCTGAGCGGCCATAGTGTCATGCAGAGGGTGTCTGGAGTTACCCAGCATGCCCTGCAGTAGAGCCCTCATCCTTCTCTCCAGCACAGCTCCCACAGAGTCCACACTTCTCCCCATCACAGAGACACATTTCATGATCAGCCTGTCGAGCCAGTTACTGTCTCTGAGGTCAGACTGGTGCCAACATGCAACCCCAAAGAACACGGCACTAGCTACAGACTGGTAAAATCAAAGGACCTCTGACTTCTCAGGAGGAAAAGTCTGCTCTGACCTTTCTTGTAGATGGCATTGGCCTGAGCTGACCAGTCCAGTCTGTGGTCCAGGTGGACTCCCAGATATTTATAGGAGTGAACCACTTCGAACCACTTCCCATTGACTGTGACCGGTCGATGGGAAAGTTGATGATCATCTCCTTGGTCTTGAACGCATTGAGAATCAGACTATTTCTCTCACTCCAGTCTAAGCAGGCAGCCACCACCTCCCTGTACTCTGCTTCATCCCCCCCTTCTCACATGTTACAACAGCGGTATAGTCCGAGTATTTTTGTACATGGCATGTAGCAGAGCTGTGTGCAAAGTCTGCAGTGTAAACAGTGAAGAGGAAGGGACCCAGAACAGTACCCTGTGGTGCTCCTGCATTGCTCACAACAGTCCCAGACACGCTCTTCCCTAACCTGACATACTGTGACCTCCATAATGGGGTAACTGGAAATCCAGTTGGTAAAGATGGGATCAACTCCAATCTTCTCCAGTTTCTCCCTCAGTAAGAGAGGGTGGATTATTAGAGTTCTGTGGTGTTTAAAATATGTTGAAATGTGGATATTTATTTTTATGTTATTATTTCATGTTGGTTTCAATTCCATCATTTTATAGCGATACCAATCATTTCAGATTGATGACAAATAACCAATGTCAGGCAGTGCATTTTTGCAAGCTAGAAGTGACAGAAATAAATAATTACATTTTGTTAAATTCATCCATCCATCCATCCATTTTCTTCCGCTTCATCCGTTGCCGGGTCGCGGGGGCAGCAGTCTAAGCAGAGACGCCCAGACTTCCCTATCCACACACACTTCCTCCAGCTCGTCCGGGGGGACTCCAAGGCGTTCCCAGGCCAGCTGAGAGACATAGTCCCTCCAGTGTGTCCTGGGTCTTCCGTGGGGCCTCCTCCCGGTGGGACGTGCCCGGAACACCTCCCCAGGGAGGCGTCCAGGAGGCATCCTGAACAGATGCCCGAGCCACCTCAACTGGTTCCTCTCGACGTGGAGAAGCAGCGGCTCTACTCCGAGCTCCTCCCGTGTGACTGAGCTCCTCACCCTATCTCTAAGGGAGCAGCCACTCTGCGGAGGAAGCTCATCACGACCGCTTGTATCCGCGATCTCGTTCTATCGGTCATTACCCAAAGCTCATGACCATAGGTGAGAGAGGGAACGAAGATTGACCGGTAAATCGAGAGCTTTGCCTTTCGGCTCAGTTCCCTCTTTACCACAACGGTCCGATACAGCTCTGACTGCAGACGCTGCTCCCTCTTCACCACAACGGTCCGATACAGCTCTGACTGCAGACGCTGCTCCCTCTTTACCACAACGGTCCGATACAGCTCTGACTGCAGACGCTGCTCCCTCTTTACCACAACGGTCCGATACAGCTCCGACTGCAGACGCTGCTCCCTCTTTACCACAACGGTCCGATACAGCGACCGCATCACTGCGCACGCTGCACCGATCCGCCTGTCAATCTCACGCTCCATCCTTCCCTCACTCGTGAACAAGACCCCGAGATACTTGAACTCCTCCACTTGAGGAAGGACCTCTCCACCCACCTGTAGAGGGCAAGGCACCTTTTTCCGGTCGAGCACCATGGCCTCAGATTTGGAGCTGATTCTCATCCCAGCCGCTTCACACTCGGCTGCAAACCGTCCCAGTGCATGCTGCAGGTCCTGGTTCGTTGGAGCCAACAGGACAACATAGTCTCCAAACAGCAGAGATGAAATCCTGTGGTCCCCGAACCGGACCCCCTCCGGCCCCTGGCTGCGCCTAGAAATTCTGTCCATGAATACAGTGAACAGAACCGGTGACAAAGGGCAGCCCTGTCGGAGGCCAACATTCACCGGGAACAGGTCTGACTTACTGCTGATGCGAACACAGCTCTGGCTCCGGTCATACAGGGACCGGACGGCCCTCAGCAGAGGACCCCCGACCCCGTACTCCCGGAGAACCCCCCAAAGGACACCCCGGGGAACACGGTCGAACGCCTTCTCCAAATCCACAAAGCACATGTGGGCAGGTTGGGCAAACGCCCATGAACCCTCGAGTATTCGATGGAGAGTATAGAGCTGGTCCAGTGTTCCGCGACCGGGACTAAAACCACACTGCTCCTCCTGGATCCGAGATTCGACCATCGGCCGTAGCCTCCTCTCCAGTACCTTGGAGTAGACCTTACCGGGGAGGCTGAGGAGTGTGATCCCACGATAATTGGAACACACCCTCCGGTCCCCCTTCTTGTAGAGAGGGACCACCACCCCGGTCTGCCACTCCATTGGCACCGCCCCCGATCGCCACGCGATGTTGCAGAGACGTGTCAGCCAAGACAGTCCTACAACATCCAGAGACTTTAGATAATCAGGGCGGATCTCATCCACACCCGGAGCCTTGCCACCATGGAGGCTGCCAACCACCTTGGTGACCTCAGGGAGATGGAAGTATCCGCCCCAACATCCTCTGCCTCTGTAACAGAGGACGTGACGGGGGGATTGAGGAGAACCTCGAAGTATTCCTTCCACCGCCCGACAATATCCCCAGTCGAGGTCAGCAGCTCTCCACCTGCACCGTACACGGTGTTGGCAAAGCACTGCTTCCCCCTCCTGTTAAATTCAAGCAACTTTATTAGTATATTGGAAGTGTACAGCCAATCTATCTACGTACATAGTTGTTCAACTAGAACAGTCAGTTACAGCTGTTATTATATTATCATTATTTTACATTTTAGAGACCTGGCCACAATGATTAATGGTATTGTGTGTTGCCTCTCCCATCAAATGAGTCAATGTCCATCTTGAGCCTTTGTAATGATTTCATAACTCTTTGAAGCAACTTTTGTTAAAGTTAAACTCATCATTCTATCAATGCGCAGAAGCCTGTACTTTTCCACTACTTGTTTTGTCTATCTGAAGGCCAAGCTACAAGCACACTGTGGCAACTGCTGATTGGAGGTCTCTGTTTCTCCTGAGTATATTATCACTTGCAGTCTGTAAAATCCTGTGTTCGAGCGTCTACCATCATCAATAAAACATGTCTTCTGTCTGAATTAAAGACACGATCCCAGACTTCGGCTGATTCCTAACACCTTCACTATGGTGAAGCTATTTGTGATAACCGAGCAAATTACAAACACGGCACTCAGAGTGTCGCTAACTGCAGTCTAGCAAATCAAGGAGACTGCCATGGTACTCTGTTTCCGTTGCAGTTAATTGTAAATGATACAATGTTTATAAAGTTTTTTTTAGCTGTATGCAGAGATCCTCAAGTTAATGAAGGCACCTGTCTCCAAGGGAAAGTATACCTTTATCGAACCAACGTTTGCACTAAGATTGCCTAACAGAGAGCCATCTAATTGTGTGACACCGCTTTTTTTGTGTGGTAGAACCAGTGGGGGCGGGCCCCGGCTCAAAAGGCCACATAATTTCAACGGCGGAGATAGGTGGCACTACGTGTCACTACGTCTGTCTATGGGTAGAACGCTGGACAGCAAGTCAATCGAATGGGACCAGAACAGACAGTGCATTTAATAGTCAGTCAAACCCAAGCTACCTCAACTGAGCTAGTAAACCAGGCAACAAAGACCGCAGTAGCCCAGTGATATAATTTAAAGTGTGGAAGTGACTGTCAGCCTGCAGCTCTGTTACGTGTTCACTGGTTGGTGTGTTGTCATAGCTCTCCAACATGAATACCTCTATAATACATTTTTATATATATAAAAAAACACACTCACCTTTGGCCCTCCGCGGGCGGTTATCCCTCTCTAAGCTCGGGTCCTCTACCAGAGGCCAGGGAGCTTGAGGGTTCTGCGCAGTATCTTTGCTGTTCCTAGCACTGCACATTTCTGGACCGAGATGTCCGAGGTTGTTCCAGGGATCCGCTGTAACCACTCTTCTAGCTTCGGGGTCACTGCCCCGAGTGCACCGATCACCACGGGCACTACTGTCACCTTTAAGGAGAGGCAAGGCAAGTTTATTTGTATAGCACAATTCATACACAAGGCAACTGAATAAAATAAGAAAGCAAAAAAAAGATAAAAATATAAAATCCCTCAGTTGTAGCACAGCTAAACAGAACTGTTTTTAACTTGGTTTTAAACATTGTCAGAGAGGAGGCCTGTCTCACATCTTCAGGAAGACTGTTCCAGATTTTAGCAGCATGAATCTGAAAAGCAGCCTCCCCATGTTTAGTTCTGACTCTGGGCACTAACAGGAGTCCAGTCCCTGTGCTCCTCAGAGTCCCAGCAGGAGTCCAGTCCCTGTGCTCCTCAGAGTCCCAGCAGGAGTCCAGTCCCTGTGCTCCTCAGAGTCCCAGCAGGAGTCCAGTCCCTGTGCTCCTCAGAGTCCCAGCAGGAGTCCAGTCCCTGTGCTCCTCAGAGTCCCAGCAGGAGGCCAGTCCCTGTGCTCCTCAGAGTCCCAGCAGGAGTCCAGTCCCTGTGCTCCTCAGAGTCCCAGCAGGAGTCCCAGTCCCTGTGCTCCTCAGAGTCCCAGCAGGAGACCAGTCCCTGTGCTCCTCAGAGTCCCAGCAGGAGACCAGTCCCTGTGCTCCTCAGAGTCCCAGCAGGAGTCCA